ACCTCTCCATGGTAGGAAGGAATAGGAAGCATTTCTCAGACATATTTGATCCAAGAAGTCTTTTTGCATCTCACACTGCCGTCCATGACAAACACTCTGACCCACCAAACACCCACATGCCAGCCCCTGCCCTTCTTGTTACCAGAATTCTGATTTTGTCTGGGCAGCAATGCTGCCATCACCAGAGGATGAATCACGATGGGTTCTATGGCCATCCTGACAATCCTGTCCCTTTGCGAAGGAGTCACTCTCCTGGCCTCCCTTCTAGCCAAGCCTGGCCACAACCATGTGATCCATTGCTGGCCAATGGGTAACAAGGGAAAGTCAACTTGGAGGATTTGTGTTATCTTCTTCCCTGATAAAAGCATCTTTGAACTTTTCTAGCTGCCCCCTTTCTCACTTCTTGTGAGGCTGGTATAGGACAATGCAATATGCAGCTGTGACTATGGTGGCTGTAGAACACAACACAAATTCTTTAATGCCCCTCCCATTCTTTAATGCCCCTCCTATTGAGAGGTGGTATTCTATGTATTGCCCTTTTGAATCTGCTTCAACAACAGAGTATAGCACAGGTGACTTCCATAGCTGGAACACTTGCCTTAGACCCCTGAGTCTCTGTGTACCAACCTCACGCCCTGACTTGGTGGTGCTGAGAAGTCCAAGCCACATAAAGAGGCCAAGTGTAGGCACTCCAACTGACAGGCTCTACTGAGCCTTCCTGAGTCCCTCTAGTTCAGGCACCAGTGTTAGAATACAGAAGTCTCTCTCAATGTTAGAATAAAGATTCCTGCTTCTGGATGTTCAATTCTTCACAACTAAGGCTCCAGAAATTGTGGGGCAAAACTCAGCCATCTCCACTATGCCCTGTTTGCCACTGTGCCCTGTCTGAATTCCTACTCCACAGACTCTATCAGAATCACCAAAAAGGTTGGTTATACCACTAACGGTTACAGCAATTTGCTATACAGCAATAATCCAAACAGACTCCATCTCTCAATCCTAAGGGAAAAGCCAAGAGGGTCAGAGAGCTATTGACCTAGAACCCCAACACCTCTAACCCGCTGCACCATCCCTAACTCCAGACTTGTTCATATGTGAAATCATTCATGTCTTTATTGCTTAAGCCACAGTTACATGAAGGCATCCCTAAGTGATACACCATGCTGCTGCTCAGCGACCCAGATTCAGGCCGGGCGCTCCTTTTTCCCATTAGCTGGGCATGGAAACTTACTGATCTTTCCTTTTCTGGCCTCTCCCTCTCCACACACTACCACCAGAATAATTTTCTAAAACTCACCTCAATCCCATTAGTTTCTTGTTTAAAACGTTCAAAGGCTCCCCATTACTTCGCAGGAGTTTGTAGCTGCAGCAGGCAACAGAAGCATCTGGAAGAACTTCAGAAGTCTGAGCATTCCAGGCCCTCTGTGTCAAGTGTACATGCAAACAACTCCCAGGCAACTCTGATGGGCAAGTCTAGTTTCAAACCAATGAGGCCTGCCGTCCCCTCCCCTTTCCTTCTATCCCGACAGAGCATGAGGCTTCCTCTTCTGTGCTCCCACTTTACTACCTTGTTGACACTTGTTACCATGTGACTTTTAAAAGTTTTCTGTCACCCTCACCAGACAAGGAGCCACCAGAAGGAAAGACCCCTGTCACACAGAAGGTTCTATCCCCAGTACCTAGTACACTCTCTGGAGGACAGTGGCACTCATGTCTTCCCATGATTAGATGAATGGATGAATGAATATAGAACAGGGGTCCTCAAACTATGGCCCGCGGGCCACATGCAAATACAAATATTGTATTTGTTCCCGTTTTGTTTTTTTACTTCAAAATAAGATATGTGCAGTGTGCATAGGAATTTGTTCATAGTTTTTTTTTTAAACTATAGTCCGGCCTTCCAACGGTCTGAGGGACAGTGAACTGGCCCCCTGTTTAAAAAGTTTGAGGACCCCTGATATAGAACAATAAACCCCTCATCTTTCTGCCTTCTCAGGTATGTTCTGTTTCCTCTGAAACTCTGCTCGCTCTCTCTCTGCCAACTGAGCAAACAGGCCAAGGAAAATACAGACAACTACAAATTAGACATAAGTCTGAGGTTTATCATTTACTAGACCCCGGCTTGCCCAGCCAAGGAGGCCTGAAAACTCAAGGGCCAATTCTCTTATCTAACAATCAAGAAGCTGGAGAAACCATTGGAATTTCACAGTGCAAAGCACATTTTGAAACCATCCTGGTCCTGTGACTTCATCCACGCCTTGCAAATGCCACTCTGACCACCTGTGATTCACACTGTCGGTCCTCAGCAAATAACCAAGCATGACCTACTCACTAGAATGAGTCCAAAAGGCAGGTCTTATCACAAGAGTGCCTTCCCCAGAAACCTACTTAGCCAGATGTTGCAGGGAGTAGGGGGTGTATTCCCCAGTCACAAAGGGAAACCCCCTTCTTTCGCCAAATCCCCGTTACCTGGAATGTACTTTATTTCACTTTCAAGGATGTTTCTAGGCCATAGTCTATAAAATCAACTCTGTGTTTTACTTACTCAAAAAACATTGGGGAACATGATGCTGATAAGGACCAAAATTACTGCAGACATACTTAATGTATGTTAGGCACCATGCTAGGTACATCACATACTTTCTCATTTTATTTTATTGATTTAGAGAGAGAGAAACAGTGATTTGTTGTTCCACTTATTTATGCATTCATTGGTTAATTCTTACATGTGCCCTTACCAGGGATTGAACCCACAACTTTGGCATTTCGGGATGACACTCTAACCAACTGAGCTATCTGGCCAGGGCTCATTTTATATTTCTAATAATCAGTAGGTAATACCACTATTCTTATTTTAGAAGAAACTGGGTTTTTGAGCAGTTAGACAACTTTTCCAAAGTTCAACAGGTACTGATGGGCAGAGCTGAGATTTAGACCAGGATCTGCGAGGGGGCAGAGCCTGTATGATCTCTTTCCATGACTCGCTTGCTCTTGCCTCTGCCCCACTCCAACACTTACCCTATCTGTGCTTTACCTAATGAGAAAGAAGGAAGGTAACATTTACCTGTGCCCACACCAAGCACTTTCTGAGTGTTAGCTCCTTTAATCCCCCAAAATCTGTGAGGTGGATATTTTTCTCCCCATTTCACAGATAAACCTACTGAGGCTTAGAGAAGTTAGGAATGTGCCCAAGATCATAGCTCTTGGCAGATAAGAAATTAACTTCAAAGATCATACTCTTTCCACCCCACCATGCTGTCCCCTTCTCCACCCTAAATATGATAGGGCTCTTTTTTTTTCTAAATGATAGAATACCATGTGACAAAGAAAGTCTACCATCTCCCACCTCACAAGGAATACTGCCTCTCAGAGCCCCTCTGGTGTAAGAGAAGAGGCAGAACACTATCATTGGTTAAGATCCCTTATCCCTTATTCCTTATTCCTTATCCCCTTAGATTAAGTTATTTAATGTATCTGATTTCCCAAGGCAAGATCAGAGGGACAAGCTACAATGACATAAATACCTTCTAGAGTCCTCTCCCACCAGTGAACAGACAGACATATTCCCTTCATGATCCACATGTGGAACAATACTGAACTCACAACCCAAATGTTCGATCTCACTATGACTGCTGGGCATAAAGGACACACCCACCTATGTGGAGGGCGGGGATCTGTGGAATGTTCGCAGCCAACTTCCCAATCAGGCCAGCACACGCTCACCTTCACTCACTCTTACACCTGCCTATTACTCTCACACATGAACGGACCTGAACCATCAAGCCTCGCTCCACTCCATTTAGACAAGAACTAGAGGATGGCTTTTCCAAATCCATAAACTAGAGGGCGGGAAGCACCACTTGCTCTTTGCAAAAGAACCCGATGCCTCTTGTCTTCTTTCCAAAAAAATTTTAAAAGCCATAAAATAAGAAGCCATAGTATGTTGGCAAAAACTTCAGTGACTGAACTGTCTGTGGTTTTGTTCTGTTGTTTTAAAGTATCATTATTGAGCACATATATCTCAGATGCTACACTGAATGTATGAGAAACATTATCCCATTTAATCCTGATAATAACCCTCCAGAGAATTACTTTACTCATCCCAATCTACAGGTAAATAAACCAAGCATACTAAGAAGCATTCACAAGATCCACAGCTGGTTGGAAGCAGAGCTGAGATTTGAACCCAAGTTCACCTGACTCCCCAAGACACACTATACCCCACAGCTTCCCAGCATTATTTACTATAGCACCTTCCTGACAAGGACCTTCAAAATCAAAGAGCATGTGAAACTGTAGACATGGGCAATCCCTCTTTGTCCCTATTCAACTTCAAAAACATAAATTGGTGGTTTCTTGGTTTCTCTGTTATCACTAGAATTAAGTCAAAGGAACTACAGTTTTGGAAACAAATCTGATCTATATGAATCACAGGCCTGAAAATGCAATGTGTTTTATACTCATGGCTGGACCCCAAGATTGATCCTGTATTAAATTATGTAATTTAGGCAAAAAAAAAAAAGATATCACTAAAATGTTATCATGTACCTTAAAACTTGCCCTAGCCGGGTTGGCTTAGTGGATAAAGCATCAGCCTATGGACTGAAGGGTCCCAGGTTCGATTCCGGTCAAGGGCACATGCCCAGGTTGTAGGCTCGATCCCCAGTAGAGGGCATGAAGGGGGCAGCCAATCAATGATTCTCTCCATCATTGATGTTTCTATCTCTCTCTCCCTCTCTCTTCCTCTCTGAAATCAATAAAAATATATTAAAAAACAAAAACTTTAAAAGCACCTCTTCAATCACATATAAATTACCTTGTGCTGACTTTCTCCATAGATTAATCCGCCCAAGTAAGTCTTGGAGAGATTCTCCTTGTAACGTCTTGGTCGTTCCACCCCTCCCCAGGGAAAGACTGACTTTCTTTGCTACTCTGGAAAGATCTGAGGGGTTTTATTCTTTACTGAGGAAGCTGTGTTTCCTTATGTACATTTAGCCTACCTCAGAGAAGAACTCATCCATGAAGGCTGTGTTGTCAACGGCAATCTCGACTTCATCGGCATCATCATCCTGTGTCAGCTGCTTCTGGGAGAGACACAAAGGAGCAGGTGAGACAAAAAGCACAAGAGCTCGCTAACAGTGCTGGGTGCTCACTAAGGGCCAGGAGCTATAGCTGCCTTAAGCACTTTACACATATAATCTCCTTGAAAACACAGACAGCTCTGGGATGTGTCAAACTCCGAGGTCACCCTGTCTGAATTTAAATCCTAGTTCCACCATTTACTGATTTTTCTTTTTTTTCTTTTTTTCTTTTTTTGCAGGGTGGGAGAGGGAGAGATGGGCAAGTTACCGTCCTCGCTGTGTCTCAGTTTCCTTATCTGTGAAATGTTAATAATAACACTACTTACTGCATTGTTTAAGAAATCAATGAGATGATAAATATAAAACACTTCTGCACAGTGTCTGGCATACTGTAAGTGTTCAATATTGCTAGGTTTGGTGGTGATGGCGGTTGGTGGTGGTGACATTACCAGTCAGAGAACCAAAAACAGAGAGGTTAAGTAACTTGACCAAAGTCGCATAGCTAAAATGTGAAAACAGGCAGATTCTAGCCCATCTTGGATTTGGATCCCATGTTCCAACCCTTTCTGCAGTGTTCAAATGCGTGATCCACCCTACCAGGCACCCCTAACAGTTTCCAGCCACAATTCCTCCAAACACTAGTCTCACAGTAGGAGTGAAGATTTTCCTGTTTTCTGAAACCACTATTGCAAAGGAAACAGCACTTTGTGATGTCCCCTGTCAGTGTTCATGTTTATAAGGAAAAGGAAGCTCTACCCCCAGCCACCCCCAGGGACCCCAGCTTTCTTAACCTCATTCAACTTCCTCTGCAAAATCACTGAATGGCTATCTAGAGGAAGGGCTTCCCTTCCCACAGGCACCAAGGGCCTGAGCTTATGCTAGGTTCTTCTCAAATTTTCTTCCCAGACCACTGCTGCACTGCACACTGCCTATTTCTAAGCACAGACGGAGAACAGGGTATTGGGGGTGAAGGTGGGAGGGGTACACCTCCTACCCAGCTCCTTCACAACCTTCAGTGGCCTATGGCCTTCTAAGCCAGGACATGTCACTCGCAAACACTCAGAACTCCACAGGCAATGAGAGCCATCAGGGGGCTCTTTTCTTCGACAGCTATCATCTCCCTGATCTACCACAGAAGATGGAGTTACTGGGACTACCCATCAAAATTTGGGGCTCTCTAGCCATTCAGGGAGTCACTTTTGAGTAGCGCCCCCATCATTTCATTCTGTGGCTCAACTGGAACCATCAGCCACCCAAGTTTAATAGCCACATTCAAAGGAGTTAAATTTGAGGAGCTGCTACAACCCCCACAATTATCTTCCTAAAACTAAGAACTGATCAGGTCCTTCTGCTACTTAAAGTCATTCAATGACAGCTCATCTCCTAGGACTAATAGTCCCAATGCCTAACAGAGCATGGGGCCCTTTAAGATCAGGCCCCACCCACATTTCTCCCTGTGTGATGCACTCTCTAGACCAGGCACTCTTGCATTTCCTGGACACATCACTCTTTCATATTGCTGAACTGTCACACAATGACTTCCTCCTGAAATGCATTTGTCCAGCTGGCAAACTTTTACTTAGCCTTAAAAACTCAATCTCCAACAATCTTAACCTGTCAACCTTACCTGACACTTCCCCACATGCACAACTTAAAACCTCCCCAAGGCCCCAAAGCAGCCAACACACCTTACCATTAATTACCCCTTTATTTTTACATAGACCAGCTGCCTCCTGCACACCCCCCACTGGGGATGTGCCCGCAACCAAGGTACATGCCCTTGACCGGAATCGAACCTGGGACCCTTGAGTCCGCAGGCCGATGCTCTATCCACTGAGCCAAACCGGCCAGGGAATTACCCCTTTATTTGTCTGTCCTTCCCCCACTGACTATAAACTTCTGCAGGGTCAGGGTTGCCCTATGTATCTATTACAGTAGATCCCTTGAGTGTGTGTGCCTGCCCAAAACACCTTCCTTCGTGGAGATAGCCCTCGCCTTTCCACATGATTCTGGGAAGGTTCTCAGTCATGACCCAGACTCCCTGAGGAATTTGAATTATGAGGGGAACAGAGCACAGTTTAGATTTCCTCTAGATTCCCAGAGCTACCCTCGTTCTGTCCTTCCCAAGCCACCCCCTGGCTTACAGCAGGTTCTCCAGACCTTCCCCAGTGTTCTTTCAATGAGCAGAACAGTATTCTTCTAAAAATTTTTAATTCATTTGGCCAGAATCAGCTTTTGTCACTTGCAATTAGAATTACTTGTACTTTGTCATTAATTAATTTATTCTATATGTATTCTGGACACGTATCCTGTAATAGATATGTAACAGCAATGTCATCAATTTTAGCTGAATAACTAATTTCCACATAGACTAGCAGCCTAAATTCACCCAGCAGTTTGTAAAGTTTGTAAATGCTCCTTTTATCAACTATCACCAATACTTGGGCCTCCCAGCAGCCTCCAGAGAGCTCATCTCCCATGAAGGATTTCGTGATCCTCACTAGAAAAGAGGAACCCAGTTTTCCTCTAGGAAGCATTTGTTGAGAGTTTCCTGTCCTCAAAGGTCTTAGAGACCCACGCTGAGGGGATAAACCCCATGTATATGTGTGTGTACATACATACACCCCCACGCATGAGTGTATCAACTCAGCTTTCTTCAAGACACTGGTGCTAAGAAAGTGTGGCTCAGTGGTTGAGCATCAAGCTATGGATCAGGAGGTCATGGTTCACTTCCTGGTCAGGGCACGTGCCTGGCTGGCTCAATTCCCAGTGGGGGGCGTGCAGGAGGCAGCCAATCAATGATTCTCTCTCATCATTGATGTTTCTATCTCTCCTTCTCCCTTCCTCTCTGAAATCAACTTAAAAAAATGTATATTTTAAAAAAAGTTGAATAAGGTTACCATCCCAGGATGGGACTGAGAGAAGTTTCTGGAAGCTGGGAACAACTGTGTCCTGGAGCAGGAGAGGCAGGTGCCTAGTTGTCCAGCATGATGTAAATTTTCGAGACCCATGGAATTTGTACAGGGATCCCCCACTTCCAAACAGCCACCTCTTGGCTGTTGGCAGGCTCGAGTAGGGCAGCCTGGTCCACCTCCAGTGAGAGAATATGTGAACTGAGAAAGGGGAAGTCTTTGGCAACTCACAGCCTAGGTCCAAAACTTGTTACCCACTGCTGGCTGTGAGACCTCCATCAAGTCCATTACTACTCTGAGGTTTTTAGCTATAAACAGTAATAACACCACATACTTGATCACTCTCAGGAGGGCTAGAGAAGATCACATGTGAAAAGTTTCTGGCACAATACTGGGGACACACTGGCACCTAATAAGTGCCCGTTTTCCCCTCACCTAGCCGTGAAGACCTGCTGCCCAAAGAGTGCGTCCTCGTCCTCGTCCTCCTCCTCAGGAGGTTCTCACACTAAAGGCTCATCAGTAAGATTGACTGCACAGCATCATGACGACCAGGGTTCCATAACACACTCCATTGCATACTGGTCACTTCAACAACTGGTTTAACATCTCTGAGCCTCAATTCTCTTATCTACAAAATAGGAGCAATAGTGTCTACCAGGGCTTTCGTGAGGATTAAATGAGCTAACATTTAAAGTTTCTTATGCAATGAACAGCACATAGTAACAACTCACTAAAACACCTGTATATAAGATCTCGCCAACTTCTCTATAGCTTTAACCTGGATCTAAGTACCTTTAAATAGGAAGGTGGGCAGGGGAGGAAAGGAGACTTGTAGAACTCAATGCAACCATACAGATTCTATCATTAAATTCTCTCACTTAGAGATGGGCAAATTAAGGCCCAAGACCAAATAATGAGTTACTAATACAGCAAAGAAGAGAACACAGGTTTCCTGAATGCCACCTTCTCAGGCAGTTCCTCCCACTATGGTGTGTGGCTGCTTCCAAAAACATAGAATAACAACATGAACAATAAGAGCAACAAATGGCAGATCAGAAAATTCAAGGAAGAGGGTCAATCTCACAGGTGACCTGAATAATGTGGTTATTCAGAGTCACGTGGCACTGGGAACTACCACCAAGCTTATGCAGAAGGGACTTAGCAGAGCCCAGGGCTGGGGCTCCTTCCCTTATGACCCAGCCATGCCTTAACAGACCAAGAGGCCTCAGGGACCCCAGGGGCAAGGGAAGCACATGGTGCCCTTTATCTTCAGCCCACATGCCTGAGCACAGCCAAGAAGAGAACTTCAACATCTTTATCAAGGAATCAAGGCGTGTGGTAATAGGAACGCTCCAGTAGCTGCAACATTAGCCACAGTATAAAAAAAACCAACGTATGTGAGAACCATGTGCCCAACTGTCCACTTCCTCTCCCCACATCCTGACCCCAGCCTCCTGCTGCTTCTCCCACCAGGAGGTGGGAGATATTGCCAGTGACTTAGGCAGCACTAAGCTAGAACCCGGGACTTATCACCTTCCCCACCTCTCAAATGTGTTCCAATATTTGGTGAGGACAGCCAGGGCTATGACCTCCTCTCTGGATAGAAAGTGGAAAGAGTTCAGGGGCCCAGATCTCAATATGAAGTAATTTAACCTGTGATTCCTCTCACTCAGCACTCACTGCCTTTCTCTCCACTGCCTTCTCTACCATACTTAGTCTATCGGACTCTTCATCAGTTCCTTTAATAAAAAATACTTGCCACATAGAGTCACTGGTAGGTGCTAAATAGCCACAACACTAGCTGCTTTACATAAACTATGTCAACAAAAGCCACCTACATTTTGAAGTTGAGAACCTGCAGGTCAGAGAAGTTCTACGTTATTCAAGGTCTCCAGCTATTGGTTTTCAGAGTCGGGGCTCAATCTTAGGTTGTCTGCCCAAGCCCTTGCTTATTCCACTGCACCCTGCTCTAAGCAGCCTATCACCGAAGCAGCCAGGGGCCCAGGAGAGCAGCAGCCCAGCCCTGCAGAAAGCACCCATGGGAGAGAGGTGCTGTAGACCTGCAGCACTTGTCTCCATTAAGCCTTGATTTTCTCACCAGGAAAGGAGCTTAGTTTTCCAATTTGGCTTTTTGGAACTTCAGGACACCTCAGAAACCACCCAGGGTAGGGGGAGCCAAGCAGATGGGTCCTCTCCCCCTGGTTAATCTGCATAGCTTCACTTTTACCTGCTTTACACATTGGGGTTCCCTGTTGTTAAGAGAGGGAAGAAAGGCAGAAAAAATAAAGAAGGAAAGAAGAAGGCAAGC